AATTCTCCCTCATACATCCTTCTATCCATCATTTTTTCACTCCATCAAAGTAAACATAAAATTTGCTAAAGTACTTTTTCCCATATGGCATGTTGTTGATATTAATTTTAACAGTTGAACTTGGATCTGATCTCCTAATCTCTTATCCATATGACCATAACTTTTCATAATGTTCCACAAGAATTTCATGTGTTAGTTGCAAAGCATATTTCTTAGCCCTCCTGTATTAACCAACACTCACATGAATACCAAACTTCCTAATAACTTCTAATCTTAATTTTATCGCACTTATCTTTTGTATTTATAAGATTTGTTTTGTATAATGACTTCCGATCCATGAATATGAAACCAATGAACATAACTTAAAGTTCCAAGCATAATTATGTTCTAAGTTCAAAGATTTAATCTGGAAGTTGTCTTTCTCACTCACCCATGATGCCCATAACCTAAAGGTACACTCACCCTTGCAACAATGTGCCAACAACCTTTTCCTATCATTTTTAACAAAGCATAATTGATACCTATTGGCTACGACATTGTAACACAAAGTTTGAGGTATACACCACTATTGAGTTCTCAATCAACTTTTAAGGTTTTAGCCATAGTCACGACATGAGAACTTGTGTGTCACATCTTGACCGTGCCCGATGAACGCGCATCCCATTTCGTTGTCACGACGTGACTACATGTTGTGCATAACAACTAGGTATAATCCTTCAATGTAGTTATAACGACTAGTCATAATATCATTCTTAAAGTTTAGGCAGAGTAACTATCAAGCATAATATTATCCTAACGTTTCAAGTATTATATAAACTACTTATACATTACAAATAATAACATTTTGTCAAAATCGATAAAGTAGTTTTATGACATGTATCCCCCCCCCCCCAATAAAACAGGTAAAATAGTAAAAATGAGGTCGTAAACTCACATTTGTAGCGTGCTTTACTATACCCTAGGATCGCGGCTGGTGGCGTTGAGGATGGGGATCTACTGGACTTCAGAGTCTACCTTACTAATAGCTTAAATATATAAATATAGAATTTCCTAAGGTTTTATAAGGAAATTTCAAAGTATAAACAAGAGAGAGAGAGAGAGAGAGAGAAAAGAAAGAATTGAGGTGTGGGAATGAATGGGATATGTTACCCTTTTATAGCCGGATTTTTCAGAATGTACCACGTGCAACTTAGTGCGTGTCGTGCACTTCCTACGTCGCTCCAGTCTGTTGTTGTCATGTGCCACATTCTTGTAGGTCCATGTCGTCCCTGTAGAAGACGTGCGCGCACCGAAAACGCTGATTTTTGTAAATTGCGTAGCTTCTTCATATGATCTCCATTTTGAATATTTTTTATATCAACCCTTAGCTATCAACGAGTACTACAACTTTCCTTCAAGTGGCATTGACTAATTCTGAACTTTTTTTAGCCTTATTTTTATATGATTTAATGTTTTGCAAAAATCATATCTCTTTTCTACGAACTCCGATTTTGGCGTTCTTTTTGCTCAAAATTATTATCTTGATGAGTACTACGATTCTACTTTTGGTGATTTTAACTAAAAGTCAACCATTTTATTCGTAGCTTTTTGACATGGTACATTCCTTATGCAGGGTTGACTTTTATATCTTACAAAAACCATATTTAATTCATACGGAGTCGGATTTCTACGAATTTTATATTTTCGGGATCATGACAACATGTACTTTTGGAATATGTTATAAATAACATACTTTTTGCGCACCAATTTTTACGGAATACAGACAATTTGGTTGATTTTTTCTTATTTATCTTAATACTAAACTTTATATTTTTATCATAGATTGATATATATATTACGTATTAAGTCTATTATACTCAACGTTTTTCACTTTCCGTAAGTAACGATCAGTGATAATTATCGCAATTGTTACACTACCCCTCTTCTTTGACACACAATTTAGTCAAGAATTCATCATTACATGTTCTATTCATAGTAACTATTTCCTTAATAAAATCCATTGTCACATCCTTAAGGGTGCCTATGTCATCATCCCTACCACTAATATAAGAATCATGGTCATCATCTCCTCCTAACTTAAACATATCATCTATTCCATCACCGATATATTCCACATAAAGGGATATTTGACCATCAGTTCCATATGCATCAAAGATAAAACATGCATATTACATTTCATTCGAGATAGGCATAAGGTCACTCCAAAAAGGAGCACTTGGCTCATAGTAGTATAACTTCTTTGATAGGTCATAATATAGTGGTTTGGGCTAGGCATCCATCTTGTATAGGTCTTGGGGTTTGTTATGGTGGTTGTAACCTTTGTGTTGTTGTGTACGGCCGGACATGTGTGTACGGTCGTACATGCGTGTACGGCTGTACACTCGTGTACTGCTGTGAGTGCTATAAATAGTAGGTGTTTGTGTCAGTCTTAGGGTGACGCAAGTGTGTGTTTTCCAAGGTGTATTTAATGTTTATGTGATATAAATGTGTGCATGTTTGGATTAATTCTTCTTCTACACTCTGATTGATTGCAATATCATTTGATCACTGATTTGGATCTTAGAATTCGGGACCTTACAATTGGTATTACAATCTAATTGCATGAAACGTTCGAGAAAAGTAATACACTCTGAGTGTGTCATACCAGAAAAATCATGATCTGTGAAGGTGAATTTCATATTGTTAGTGTAAGATAAACAACAACGAATAAACACCCTGTTAAAGTTTAGTTCCACTATATGACATATTGCATGTTGGTTAAAGGCTGACATAACTTTTGCTTCCTCCTACTTCACTTCATTCTGTGGAGAACTCGTAAACCCTAGCTCTAGCTGGAGGTGACGAAGAACAGTTAAACTTAAGTTCATTTACACTCGTCTCATTTAACTTGATAACTATGTGGAATTGCCAACATGACCTTATATTTTCTTTTTATTTGTATTTCTAATTAACACGTAAGCAATATAACCGGCTCGTCCAATTTTTTGCTCAAAATTACGGGTAATTTAAAAGTTGAGAGATTAATTGCACAAAAAAAATAACTTGGGTGACCAATCCGGGACAAAGCCAAAATTTTATTGTGCTACAGTATCAAACTCTTTTAGATCAACTCAAAAATGTATAAAACAAAGTTTTAATTCATTATTTGTCATTTAAAGTCGAATTACATAAATCTAACTCTATCAAGCTTGCGTATCTCATTATAGACACGATTCATTTCAATCATACTTCTAGTTGTAGCCTGCAGGTGAGCATTCAGCCCGTGTATCCAATTCGGGCTGGTTCCCCAAGACAGGTTAAAAAAATTGGGCGATGATGGAAGATTTGTTGGAGGCCCATCAGTCCACCAGCCGTTGTGAGGAATTCCGAGGCCATTTTTCATTTTTTTTTTACCATTATGTTCCTCTATTGTGTGTAAACAGAAATTAGTTGGTTTGCTTTCAAGACAACTAAAAACTAAATCACTGATCTTGTATTCTGACTAAGGTGTTGTTTGATTTTCTGAAGCAAAAATTCATGAAGTCTGCGGACCACCTCTGCAACCCTCTGCAGTAGAAGAGGTGGACCAAACGGCTGCAGACTATAATAAAAAGCATGTTTGTTTTTTTAACATCTGCATACTATTGCAGATATTAAAAAATTAAAATAAATTAATTTTATGAACCGAAAATAGCTTTTTAATACGTAAAATTTAATAATGTATAATATTTCGGTAAAAATTAATGATATTTCAGTAAAAAAGAATGATATTTCAACAAAAAATAAAGATATTTTCGGTAAAAAATAATGATATTTTCTCAAGAAATTATCATTATTGAATATAAAAAAAATGAAAAATAAATTCAATAAGAATAAACGAAAAAAAAAAGGGGAAAAAAATGTAAAATAAAATTTTAATAACATATAATCAAAATTTCAGCAATAAAAAAAGAAGAAGAAGAGGTTGGAAGAGGCAGTACAAGTGTTGCGCCAAACAGAGCACGCACAGAGGTTTTTTGACTCAGAAGACTTCTAAAAAACAAATAGCTGCGAGATGAAAAGTGATGCGCGTGTGCTGCGCCGCGCAGCAGTAAGAGGTTTGAAGAGGTTTTTTCCAAAAAAACAAACAGCACCTAAATTTTCCGTTCTTGGATTGTTCAATTTTGTGATTTCGTGTTCTTGGCTCTTTTATTTCTATTTTCGTCTCAATTGTCGAGTAACAATATTCCATAAAATATGATTCAATATATTATGTTTTATCACAATTGTTTTATTTGATAAATGGAGTGAACATCAACAAGTAACCGTGCAAAACTTACCGAAATGGTCCTGAAAATGGAACTAACGGTTAATGGAATGTTTGAACCGATGCTTGAACTGATCACAACGGTTTTTATGATTTCTTAAAATAAATGATGTTTTCACAAGGGGATCATCTAGCGGAGAGGTAAATACATCGGCTAAATAACAAAATTTATAATATAAATATCGATTTCATTGAAGTTAAATTTATTTTTTGAAAAATTGGATTATCCGATTTACCAGTTTGTATCCAACCCAAATATTTCTGTCAACAGATCACACATTTTACACACCGTTCTGGAGTTTTGGATAAACCGGTTTGCCCATTTACAATTAAATCCGATCCAGGTACGCATCTACAAGTTACGGTTATATAATAAAATCTATTCCAAACTGGTTTTAACCTATTCTCAAAAAAATGGCTTGAAAGGTGCACCTCTAATATTCAACTCCAATTTTGCAATCAATATATGTCTGTTTAGAACTTTTGGTAGAGTATACAACCAAAATCCATGGTTATTACAAAAATTTTAAGTGATTTCAAATTTTACATTCAAGGAAAATATTTCTTGACCGAGTAATCATCTATGTTTCTAAATCCGAATTTTGAACGCAAGGTAATCATGTAAGTCGGATACCAAAAAAAAGAAATACTCTAAAAGTTTTAACTATCAGGATTCAAAATTGCAAATATCACCTTTTGCAACACATTCAAACATAGCAAAAAAAAAAAAAAAATCAAATAATATCTCAAAAGTCAAAACCATTAACATCATCATCATCATATAAGCAAAAGCAAAAGAAAAAGAAAAAGAAAAAGCTCTTACACCACAGTAATAACAAACTTTAAACAAGTAACAGTAACAGTTCTCCAAGAAACACAGCAACATAACAGACTAATCATAACACAGAAGCACCAAATCATACGAGTTCATATCATAGACAGAATGGTCCAAAAACTAACCTGTAATCTTTTTATATCAGAAAAGAAAGGATTTAAGCAACCACCGGTTCAGCAGCCGGAGGAGCTTCAGTAGTACCATTTGAAACCGCCGCCACTGTTTCAGTAGCTGCCGCCGCATCCTTTCCATCTTTAGCAGCAGCACCCGTTTTCTCATCTTTAGCTGCTTCCTTTCCGTCTTTGGCGGCGGCAGGTGGTGGTGGTGGTGGTGGGACCATATGGGCGGGTGGTGTGTGTTTGAGTTTGACAAGGATGTGACGCAACCTTGAAAGATCAGTGGGCTTTCCAGGTTTAGGTCCTTGGACAATTGTGATTGATGGTTTCTTGTCCTTGTCCTTTTTGCCTCTCTTTTCAATGTTGGGAACCTCACGTGGGATCAGCTCTGCTATTGCTTTCCAGTATTGTTTATCAGCTTCTTTGTGGAATGTTTCTTGCTTCGCCACATACATCTACATTACAATTCCAAAACTTTCTTCTTGTAACAAATTCATAACATACCAATTTAATTAACATAATACTAATGTTACAGATATTAAAGTTATATGTGGTAAACATTAAAGAATGAATTTATTATGATATTATATGAATGGTGGTTTAGGAAAATTACCTTCTCGCCTTCTCTATTGGTGAGTTTGTTTGTCTCAATGTTGCGTAGTCTCTTTTCATGGAAAGCTTTTATATAATCTTCACCTTCTTGAATGATCTGGGCACGTAATTCCTTCTCTTGATTCTCCTTCTCCTCCAATCGAATTGCATTCAGCCTGCACATTGAAAGCCATGTAAGCTTAAACATACGAAAGGACTGAATTCCATGGCCTGAATTAGTATCATCAATTTAACTTTTATATAAATCTGAGATGATGCTCAAGAGATCTGTGGAATATTGATGTGTTTACTCATTCATGGCAAAATATCAATCTATATTTCTATAGAAGACATAGCTATTTTTATAATACAAGTATACAACCCTCTTTTATTCATGAAAAGCTATGATAAATTATGTTCAAGATAAGGTACATGTTGTTCTTATATTGTATACGCTGACTTGGTGCTGAAACTACTATAACCTAGGTTCTGGTAGAATTTCAATTTCTGAATTTTGTGTGTTTCATATTGAAACTTACAAAAGCATCCTACAAGCTACACATTTACAGTGACTACTGCACGTGTCACTCAAATGTAAATTTGATCAATATAGATCTCACATCAATTGCATGATATATATACATTTAGATAGTGAAAATAGCAACTAGCAAGTACTATAACCCCATTTAAAAGATCCCAACAATATACTATCCTCCAATTACCTGATATATACATTTAGGTAAACTAGAGCAAGAAATAAACTCAATACATAAAATTTTAATCTTCAATTTGCAAAAATTGTCGTTTTAGTCATCTGCAGATCTATGCTCTGCTAACAATTTGATATCAGGACCAGCTACAGCCTACACATATTCTTAAGATAATTCAAATTGAATGGTGAGTGTTAGTGTTCTTATAACTAGGAACATAGAATTCATCCTGGACCTAGGTGGTATGTCTCACATGCTTGCAAGGAATCTTAGTTTTTGATATGATTCGTTTGTCAAACTAGATAAAACACCGATGAAAACACTTCAATATGATACAAGAGAATCATATAACACATTAGCAGCCTCAAGGCCACCAAATCTCGATTGTTTTCAGAAGATTAGAATGGTAACGTGAGCACTAAATCTCGATCAAGCAGGTTTAGCAACGTAATTATGATTAGATCTAGTGTAATTATAGCTGATCAAGTGAATACTCTAAGATCTATGATAAATCGGAAACGAAATGTAATATAATCAATATGAAAGTGCTCCAGATCCAGAGAATTAAAACCTCACCTCCGCCATTCGCGAAGAGCAAACCCCTCCTCCCGCATCTCACTCGGAGGCGGGAGCACCGGTCCATCAGAACTAAAAAGTCCATCAGCATCCTCTCCAACATCGTAATCCTGACTTACACCATTCGAAATCGGGATCGAGGAAGAATCAAACGGTGAAGAGGTCGGAGGCGGCTGGGAGTACTGATCCGCATCTGGATTCGAACCGAATCCAAACGGATCTGCACTGTCTACAGATTGGTGAGAGACATGCTCACCGTCAGCAGGGAATTGATACGCCGGAGTATCGGCGGTGGAAAAGTTGGAGTATGAATCGTTGTTGTCAAAGTAACCTTCATCAAATTGACCGGAAGATGGAATCGCTGTCGATTCTTCGCCGTCGACGCTGAACGTATCAAACGACGACATCTCTCTCTAGATTTGCTCCTTCTTTCTCTCTCTAGATTTGCTCCTTTCTATCTCGGTATATCTCTCTCGCTTCTTAGCCTGTTTTCATGGCTGCCTTTTATATCCCCTTTTTCTCCTTTCTAGCCCTTTCTTTTTAGTGTAAACAGCTTATCAAAATTCTATATTATTACTAAAATTTCTTATTTTATAAAGATATATATCAGCATCGTGTAAAATTCACAATTAAGAGGGTATTTGGATTCATCTTTTTGATTTTTAAATTTTTCGAAAAGTTAAAAATTATTTGGTAAATTGAAAAGAAAATCAAATTTCAGTTAAGAATGAAAAGTTGGGGGTAGAAAATATATGAATTCTTTTCCTTTTGTGACTTTTAATTTTTATCATTTAAAAGTCATAAAAAGCAAATCAAACATATTTTTAATACCATCTTTTAAAAAAAATCTTTTAAAAAAAGACTTTTATGTTTAAAAAGTAATCTCAAATACACTATAAGACTACGTTAAATATCAATATTCTACTCGCATTTAAATTAAATTATGAAAATCAATAATAAAAAGGTATCTTATAAATCTTTATCTGCTTAGTTAATCTGAATGATCATTATTATATGTGTTCTCAGTAGGGATGTCAAAAAATCTCGTAAGACCCCGATACCGTACAGGATTAAATTTAAAAAATAAAAAAATAATAAAAAAAAAAAAAACGGGAGAGAGAGCGGGGGCAGAGGCAAAATTAAACCCTGTTTATTTTCAAGATAAGGGTCGGGAGTCGGTATTTCCGTCTGTACTCCCGCGGGGATCCCGGTTGTACATTTATGTAAAAAAATATATATTTAATATAAAATACATATACAAAATAGATTTTCTAATTTTAAGTTTAGGTTATGTTTCACTTTCCCGTTCATGGATATTGAAGATCTAGTGAATTTATCATATATTTTTGGACATGTAAGTATTTTATATTTGTAATGTTGGATTTGTCGTATTTTATACTTGCAAGATTGTTGGAATTATCGTTTTGTGTTGGATTCGTAATGTTGGATTTTTAATTTTTTAGTTTCTAAAAAATTAGATTTTAAGCTTTTAAAGTTATTAAAAATAGTATTTTTAGCCTAAAACAAAGCAAAAAAATCGAATTTTAAACCTATAAACTGGGAGAACTGGGGTACCGTGGGCGATGGAGGTAACCGAGAGCTATGTAAACGGGGAATCCATGGGCGGGGTGGGGACAACTATTTCTACTCCTGTTTGATCCGTTGGCATCCCTAGTTTTCAGAGAACGTTCTTACCTTTCAAAATATATTTTGTAATAAAACAATTATATGTATCGTTTTGTAGTTTGATAATATGAATAATTATTAATATGTATGGTGCAATAATTTCATGAATGTCATTTAAGATCAAATCAAGTCATTAAAAAACAAACTTTTTGGAAGTATTTACATATGATCATTATTACCGGCTGTAGCAGGTTATATCCGGTCATAATAATCATATGTGAACACTCCAAAAAAAACTTTTTACCTAGATGTATACAAAAAGAAAAGATAGTTACCGTGACGTGAACAAATCGAAAAGGTAAGAGTAAATTACACGAATGGTCCTTGTGATTTGGGTAATTTGTGTGTTTAGTCCCTAACATATTTTTTAACTTGGATGATACATACTGTTTATTTTTGTTGTGTGTTTGGTTTCTGTCTGACTTCAAAAGATTGTTGTGCCTTTTTTAATTTATTCTGTAATTAATTTTCTTATTTATGTATCTACTTTTTATATATTTAAAAAATTAATATATCCTACATATTCGTATCTCCTCACTCTAAACCTGAAACCACATTTTTGGAAATTTAAGTTGGGTCCCACCGATCACCATCTCATCTCTCATCGTCCTCAACTTCTATTTTTTTTTCCATCTTTAGTGATATCGACGTCTTCACCATCCTTTCTTTTTTCGGTCCTTTAACTCCGACGAACCAACACCATAACCCTTCTATTGGGTTATGGTGGTGGAAAATTCAATGAAAATACAGTGGATTGTGGGTGAGGAGATACACATATGTGGAGTTTATTAATTTTTTTTAATATATATAAAAAATAAATACATAAATAAGAAAATTAATTAAAAATGACACAATAGTCTTTTGAGGTAAGACAGAGACAAAATGTACAACAAAAATAAATAGCAGGGATCATACGAGTTAAAAAATAAGTTATGGACTAAACACAAAGATTACCCAAACCAAAGGGACCATTCGTGTACTTTACTCTTATTTCTTCTGTTTGTTCATATTTGGGTAACTATCTTTTTTTTGTAGACATCTAGATAACGAACTTTTTGGAAGTGTTCACATACGACCATTATAATCGGATGTAACCTGCTACAGTCAGTCATAATTGTCATATGTGAACACTTCCAAAAAGTTCATTACATAGATATGCACAAAAAAAGATAGTTATCTAGATATGAACAACCCGAAAAGTAAATTGCCTTAATAAGTCTATTTCCCGTTAAAAAAACTATAAGCGTGTTCGGCAATGAGCGTTTGACAAAGCACTCCGTTTTGAACAGAAAGTCTTGTTTGGCACTACAAACTTTTAGCGTTTAGTTTAAACAAAACGCTACAATTCCAAAAGCTACTTCATGTAGCGTTTAGCAAAACGCTATAAACTACCAGCTACATGCTACATGTTACAAGTTATCTGCTACCAGCTAGTTGGTCGAACACACACTATATGAAAACTCATTTCATTTTATTTATTCAAATAAACCAAGCTCTTTAAATAGATCTAATCAACTACTTAAATTCCATGAAACTAAATGTTTATTGGATTGCATAATAAAAGAAACATGGCTTGGAAGGTTTAAAATCATATATGTTAATAATGGTAATTATATCTTTTACAAAAGCATTATCATTATTTGCTACTTATAATAGATCAACTCTTAAAATAAATGTGTTAAAAAAAATTAATTTAATAAGGAATAGTTAGAATGCTTTGTAAAAGATATAAATATATTTTACTTGCTACTCATAATAGTTGATTCTTTATTATTTTATATTACTGGAAAAAAAATTAATTACGAAATTACAAACAACAATTTCAGAGCGTCAAATTGAAGAAAAAAAAATATTCTAATTGATTATTTATAATTTAAAACATTTCTAAATTAGATAGATTTTATTATAAATAAAAATTGATTATGATTATTGTCATAATCATTGTTTCTTTTGATAAGGCTCCAAAAATCGTTCTTACATTCACACCATAATAGTGATTCTCAAAAGAATTATATATACAATTAAATCAATAACTTTTTAATATATATTTATGAAAACCTCTCTACAAAACTATAATTTATTCATAACTTATAAAATAATTTTAAACTAACAAGATTTATAAAACTATAAAAACCAATTGTAAATGTATATTGTATACTACCTTCGTCCCAAATTGAATTTTAAACTAACAATATTTATAAAACCATAAAAACCAATTGTAAATGTATATTGTATACTACCTTCGTCCGAAATTAATAGTTTACTTTTGACTTTTGAAGTCCTTTTTCTTCGACTTTAACCTTAAATATTTTTGTGTTTGATAGATAATATTTGATGCAAAATATATGAATGGATTGTATTTTAATTTTTTTTCATTGTTATAAGTTTTATCAAGTTATATATAACACAAATAAAAATATTTAAGATCAAAGTTGAGGAAAAAAAGACTTCAAAAGTCAAAAGTGGACTATCAATTCAGGACGGAGGGAGTATCAAACTGAAAATTAAATATTTTGACTAATGTTTTTTGAAAAATTTTATTCATTGTTGAACTGTCAAAGCATCGTCGTCGTCGTGGCCTATGTTGTTGTCGCACATCATATCGTAGTGAACCACAACTATTCGATGCCACCCCTACTACATTCATCCTCCTTTGCTACAAGATATGAAAGCCTAAACCCTAGTCGCCACTCCTCGTACTAGAACACAAATGTTCGCTTACACCCCCTATTGTCATCAGCACCTCTGTTGCAAGATCTGAAACTCTAGCCGACACAAGATCTGGAAAACCTAGGAAGCCCCCATCAGTCGTTGTCACACGACCTACTGCGTGAACCACAAAAAAGGTTTTTGTGAAAATGACCCAGGATGTAATTATGTTTAAAAATCGTTCATAAAAAATCATCCAGATAAAGTTTATATAAAAAAACACCTACAAATTATACATTTTGTTCAAATGTTATCCATTGGTAACTAGTTATTATGGGTTAAAGAATGACTTTGCCTAACTATTGGTGACATGATATAATAATTACTAATATGATATTAGTTGATACATTCCTTATTTAAAAATCAATTTTAGCTTCTTTATGAATGGACGATTGGAATTTGTGAAAACAAATGGATAAATGTCCATAAGTAGCACAAGGAATGAAATTTGTTGAAACTGGAAGATGTGTAATAGTTTGCAATCCATTCCATTTTAGTCTTGACCAGTAGTTAGGCAAAACGCAAACAATACATAGATTTCACCACACTACAAATTAACATAAATATTCGTGAAGACATTGTTGTAGTCACATTACCAATCAGCATATATATATTCAAAAATGTACATTGCCCAAGATTGTTATACTACCCATATCAAAAGCTTACACACACACACACACACACACACACATATATATATATATATATATATATATATATATATTTTCAAAAAAAATCACATAACCAAGCAAATATATAAGAGAAGGATATGATAAAAAATTCAATTGAAGTTACCATTCATTTTAGACAAACCTTGAAGTTTTTGTCATGATTAGTCTGTAGTTGATGTCCAAATTTGAGAAGGATGTCCACAATTATAAAGGTGTGTATCATCAAATATCTTATGTTTCTTTAAAATGTGTGAGCTTAAGTTGGAGATTATCGATTTAGTGGAAGAAGAAGCCATCAGAGGAGATTAAGAAGTCATCCGTTCATGAAGAAGCCCTAAATC